GGGGTCCGGCGTTTTGGGAACGCCGGACCCCCAGGAGCGAAAAATTCCGACCGGATTTTGGCAAAAAAAATCAGTTTTGATTTCGTTCAAAAAATGTAATATGTCCGTTTTGACGAAATGACTGTTTTACCATTATTTTGTTGAAGGACTGCGCCAATCCCATACTGACTTGCGCCAGTAGTAACGATGAAAGGAAAAGACGGATTAACAATTTTTTGAACAGGGTAGTGAGTCAAAGCATACTTTACCTTTTTGAAGGAGGACTCACAGTCTTTGTCTCACAACCAAATAGTTCCTTTCTTCAATAATCTTCTCATTGGTGCGACAATCTGTGAAAAGTTCCTGACGAACATTCTGTAGTAACTTGCCAAACCAAGGAAAGATCGTTGTTCAGTTACAGACTTAGGTCGTGGTCAATCTCTAATTGCTGATATTTTCTTTTCTTCGAGCCTTAGACCCTCATCGTTCACTATATGTCCGAGGTATAAGACTTGAGACTTAGCGAACTCATACTTTTTTGGGTTTAGCTGGAAGTTGCCCTCCCGCAACTTTCCTAATACAAGATGTAAGTGTTTTTCGTGATCTTCTAGTGTCTTACTATACACTAGAATGTCGTCGAGATAGACAGTGACGAACTGATCCAACCATTGACGAAACAGTTCCTTCATGGATCTTTGGAAGGTCGTTGGGTCGTTAGTCGGTTCGAAAGGCATAACCACGAACTCGTAGTGACCATACATGGTTCGGAACGCAGTCTTGTGTTAATCCGCAGGATCCACCTCGATCTCGTGGTATCCAGACTTTAGATCAATCTTACTAAAGAACTTGCAGCCCTGCAACTGGTCCAACAAGTCGTCAATACGTGGAAGAGGTTTGACATTTTTAACAGTGACGACATTCAACACTCTGTAGTCAATACAAAGATGCAACTCACCTTCCTTTTTTTGGCACAAAGAGGACAGGGGCACCATAAGGAGAGGAGCTAGGGGGAATCCATCCTTTCTTTGTTAAATCCTGCAACTGCTTTTTAAGTTTCTCAAGTTCCCTAGAAAACATTCGGTAGATAGGGCCCTTGGAAATCTTACTGCCATGAATAATTTCAATTGTGTGCTTGATAGCACGTTCAATCATTCCTGTTGGTTCGATTTGTCAAATCTTTATATTCCTCCGGGAGTTTCTCAATCGAAAAAGGATAGGAAGTAGAATATTCACATGCCTTCTTTACGAAGACCGTCATTACTTCCGGTTTCAATTTCTTCTTTGAAACCATCGATCAAAATGTTGGATAACTCGTACAACCGAAAGACAAACTAGAGTCAGAGTCAGACTTATGATATAATTTGATTGGTTTCAATTCGGAGT